TAATATCTAGAAAAATTATATCTCTGACTGTGCAGGTTGACTCAGAGGTTATTTTTTTAAAAATCTCAAGGTTTGAGAGGTAATGCTGTCTTCTGAAAACTTCTGTTTTAGTGTTTAAAGCAACATTTTCCTTAATAACTGTTGTTTCAGCCTTTCAGTAGTGTTAAGCTGTTTTCAAAGGTGACTGGTAATGTATTTTATACTTCTGTACTTACTGGCCATTGATGTTCTTAATTCAAAAGTACTGAGAGAACACCAGTGGGTTGTCAGAAAATCACTGATGTTTCGTGATATAAAACATCCTAACACCACAGTATTTGGGTATTTAGTGAATGCAATGTGAAAAAATATGGTTCTAGTAACTTCTGAAAAGTGGGGCTGTGATATTTTTCAGTCTGGTAAACATCAGAAGACATTCATGTGAGATCAGTAGACTTCATGTGTTTAAAAAAGATGTGAAGATCTCATACAGTTCTTAAATTTTTGAGATAGGAAGCACCAGAGAAATCCCTCTGAAGGATCTTATTGTTATGTTGACATTTCTGGTTTTGTGGGATCAAGCAGGAGAGAAAAGACAGGTATTTTCCACAACTATTTGAGAGCCTCTGGAATAAAAAATCATTGAGCTCTTAATGGAAATACCCATCTGTTAAATGTGACTGAGTTCTTACTTTCAAGTTTACTCAGATGTCCATGAAACAAGCTCCTCACTGCATACCAGTTATAAGACTTTTTTAAAAATTATAAATAAATAAATAAAGGTCATACCCTGAATTAGCACTTGGTAAATATAATTATAGTGTAATTTTACAATTGAAATACCGTTCATGTTTTACAGATCCTTCCTCAAAGCAAAGGACCAAGACAAATATTTTAATTGAGCTTTTAATATATTCCACTTTTTATTGTATCTTGATGCATTTTGAATGATTACTGTAGAAGATGCATGTCATTCAGAAGTATTAGTGGAAATAAAAGTAACAGGTATTTGCAGGATTTCACTGCAGAGATTCTGCACATACTGACTTAATTTAACTGGGACACTGTAGAATTGAAATATATAAAATAATGTTCTTATAACATTCTTGATTATCTAATTTGAGCTAATAAGATCAAATTCCTGAGCTTTCCAGTTTAAATAGTCAGTTTTGTACTAGTGTTATTCCATTTGTAAAAGTACATTTCCCATGTTCTCATGTTTCTGGTGGCAGAATACTTTTGTGTGCTGCTAATACTACATTTGATTTAAAGCACATTATTAGAGATTACATACTGAAGAACTGATTTAATCTGTTCTTCACTCAGGATGAGTTAATCGAAATGGTCAAATATCTGAGTACTAGATATCCATTTCATAGTGTACTGTGAGACTTGTTTTGATTGTGCTATGAGTATAAACTAAAAATATTTGTCTTTTTTTTCTCTGTGCTTTCTATTTTTTCCGTCTTCAATCTTAGCTTGTTAGCTCTGATTTGTTTCAAAGATTTGTAAGTGGGAAAACAGTGTTCTTAAAACTGGTTTGTCTGTGGAGACAGAAAAACAGTGAGAAGTGGTTGGACTAACAAAGATGAATACATAAAAACCACAGTCTTCAAAGCAAACTAGGTAGAAGCAAAAATTAAAGGTGATGTTAACTGTTGTGTAGTATTTTTGGCACTTGCTTTGATTATGCAGGTAATATTTTAAAATAATCTGCTCTGACAGAGATAGGAATGAGAACATAAAATAGAAAAAGTGTACTTCAGAGATTGAAACTTTGTTTCCGAGATATGTGTATTTGTTTAAAGCTCCTAAAGTTCAATTGTATGGTGTAAATATACTAACATGTATAATTCCAACATATAATTCAATTTTTGCTGGATCTTTATTCAACTTGAACCTCTGGAAGTAGAATTAAGAACTGTCTTTTCCTGCCTGAGGTTTGCTGCTGCTTCTGAAGGAGGGATGTGTTAATATCGTCATCCTAATTTGCAGAATCACAGAATCATTGAGGTTTATGGGAATTTAGGAGGCCATCTAGTCTGATAACCTGCTCAAAGAGTGATCATTAGTGCAGGTCGGTCAGGACTGTGTCCAGGCAGATTTAGAATATCCCCAAGGATGGAGACTCCACAGCTGCTGGGAGCAACCTGTTCCAGTGTGTGATCATCCTCACAGTAGAAGATTTTTCCTGTATTTCATTTTGTGCCCATTGCCTCTTGTTCCATCACTGGGCGTCACTGAGAAGGATCTGGCTTTGTCTTCATTCCCCACTGCCCCCCTCTCCACATCAGATATTTGTGCACATTGGTAAGACCCTCTGAGCTGTCTCTTTTCAAGACTCAACAGTCCCAGCTCTCTGCGTCTTCTAGTGCTCCTTAATCCTTTATCAGCTTTGTGACCCTTCCCATGTCTTTTGAACTGGGAGCCTGGAACTGGACCGAGGTCTGTCACACCAGTGCTGAGTAGTTCACCTTCCTCAGCCTGCTGGCAGTGCTGCTCCTAATGCAGTCTTGGATGCTATTAGCAATTAAGGGCAGGAATACACTTTGGAAACTTGGCCATGCCCATCTGAGGTGCTTTGGTTCACTTCACAGAGTACTTTGAGGGCATAAAATAGGCTTCTTCCACTTTAAACTAAACTGGAGGGTGTTCCACAGGAATGCTGTAATCACTACGAGGTGTTTATCCGCATGACTTGACCAGAACTAATCCAAAGTAGATCCATTCTCCTCCTTTTGCCTTCTTGAGATCTAAGTTACTGTAAGTCATACAGCTGAGGTAGTTTTTTTTTGTTTTAATTAGAAATATTTAATTTTCTTTATTAGACTGTAGAAACAAGCTTTGAAAAATACTGATGGTTTAAATATTGTGCAAAAGCTTTGAAACCTATAAATTACACATATAGGTCTCTTACTCAGATTTTACAAGACCAAAATTGGTCCTTAAACCACAGTGAAGAATGGCAGTGTAGAACACAGAGTCATTTCCTAGGATTCATAATAGATATTATTAGATTACTTATTTTGTCATCTAACGTTAATATTCACCTCTCTTGTTTGTAATTGCAAATTTTGTTTCACCTGTTTAGTTTGTTTACAAGTTGCTGTTCTTCAAGTAATTCTAATGTAATTTACTATACTTTCCAGTAATTTTAAGTAAGAGACATTTTATATGAGATAGTTGTGACTTGACAGAGTGTGTCTACCATGTAACATAATCTTGAAATATACTGTTATCAGTTTTCTTCCATAGGAGAATTTAGAATGCTATAAAAGAACCTGAAGGGAAGAGTGGGTCATGGTACTATCCTTTTTTTGTTTTGAGTTTCTTAATTAAATTTAGATGTAGTCTTTCCTTCCCCTCACTTTTGCCTCAGAATTTTTTTTTCTTTGTGTTTCTCCTTAAATTATTTTTACTTGAAAATAAATATTTAAAAGGAATTTGTTTTCTCTGGAATGTTTCAGATTTTGGATTGATGCTGCCAGCCTAATACTTAGCTTGTCTTGCCATTTGCCTTCAGCATCATATAATGAAGAGGAGGTTTAAGGCCTTCCAAAGTTTGTTTGTCAATGCCATTAAATCTGTTTTTAAAAGTCTTTGAATTTAGACAACTTGGACTTAGCCATGTAGCAATACCACGTTTATTATCTGCATGCAGAAATTACATGAATGATGATACGTTAATATTCATGAAAGTGAGAATAATTAATTTTTACTTTTCTTTGCACATGGATTTTTAATGAAAATGTTTGCAGTAGTTTGAGTACAATCCATTTTAATGTTTTTGTACCTTGCTTCCCACATTTGTATTCCAGCTGTTGTCTTCCTGTACCAAGCAGTTAACAAAACATTTTTCTGTCAGTGGCTTGACAAAGGGAAGAGGAGGGTATAGAATATGAATGAGTAATAAATTACAGTCTGAAAAAGCTTTCACCTCTTAATCAGAATCAAAATATGGCTAAAATTTATGGCAAAGTTTTTTGTTACTATTTAATGTCGATTTGTTACTATCAAATGTCAACAAATATTCCAGTTCCTAATATTTTTTTTTTTTTTATACTAGAGAACTAAATATGTGTGGGGAAAAAGAACTGTAATCTTTTGATCTTCTTAGACCAGGAAGAAGAAAGATGGATCATAGGACAGAGTTTAGAAGATAGAATCAACCTATTGTGCTTGCTTGCTGGCTGGAACTTTTGTTCTCCAGTATTTTTACTTGGCACAGAGTTAGTTTAAAATGGGAGTGAGGGGAGTTTCAGCTGTTATCCAAACATAAATCTGGAATAACTTACTGTGTATTAGGAATGAATGTCTGGCACGTACTAAAGACAAAATACTCACTCTGAAATTGTGCTGTGTATTAGCAAAAGAAAAATAACATGGAATTACGTGACATAAATAAAAGCAGAGAAGTTTCTGTAAAGCTCACTGTATAATTCCATCCAGCACACCCACACTTAGTATTTGCTGAACAAAGATTAAGAGCAACAAATCAAGACATAAATTTTGTAGTTGTCTTGGCAAAATATTTTTCTGAGAATGATTACTTGCCAAGTCTTTATGAATTTGAAGATAAATGTCCTGTCTGCAAACTGAGAGCAAACCTTGTTTTAGTTAATAATTGGCAAAATGGTTCTGTCTTTTTGCATAAAAGATTACAGGCGACTTTAGCTCTACTTAAAATATTAATATGTACTCTCTGTAGCCTCCTTTGCCTCCTTAGTGCTTTATACTTCATGCATATGCTACTGTTGTTGGCCACACGGAAATCGTTTTGGGTATTTGATTTGGATAGAGGGGGCAAAAAAACACAGGTTGTATGCGTTATGAAGTGCATGAAGCAAGCTTAAAAAGACCCAATAATTGCATTCATTTATTTGTTTCCAGGTATTCTAGAGCTTCATCACAAATAGTGAAGAGAGATGAGAATTACAAGTAACTTATTTCTAAGATCGTCTACATTCTTCAAATACTTTGTTTAGGATTTAAAACCTCGAAAACTTTTGCAGCTACAATGTATGGTTTTGGTTGTCTTTTTATATCAGAATTTTCAGCAGCTTGGTCTTTCACAGACAAAATTTTTCATCAAAAATTATCAAGCAAATGGCACCTCTAAGTCTAGTTGTTTAGTTTTACAACATATTGCTGTGGTCATTAGGGACGTGCACTTTAAACATTTTTCGATGTATAAAAAGAAGTTTTGAAAGAAGAACCCTGAAAAAAATTGATGTAAAATTGCATCTCAAGTGTGGTCGATTTTAATTTGAAATAATACAATTGTAATACAGAACACTAAGAGGATTTCTTTCTGCGGTGTCCATGCCAGTCAGGAGATTAACTTCTAGTTATTAGAAATTGCACCACTTGCATTAAAGCAAAATTTTTGTGATTTAGCAATCCCCGTAATAATACATTCCACTGCTTTTGCAGTATTATGGAACCAGAACAGCTTGATTTAAAGGAATGTAAATAATACTCTGTTTTCTTTCAAGGTACAGGGGGAAAACTGAACTCATGTTACATTTGGGTTTCTGAGCAGTGATGTTGGAAGCGGTAAACTTTTGGCCTCTTGCTTACATGATTTTTGCTACTGAGATTACCCGTCAGCGTAAACATGAAGGACAGTTCGTTGGCCATTAATTTCTTTTTAAAAATTTCACTGATGTAATATCATCACATCAGACAAAAAAATTATCATAGAATCACAGACTGGTTTGGGTTGGAAGGGACCTTAAAGACCATCTAGTTCCAACCCCCCTGCCATGGGCAGGGACACCTTCCACTAGACCAGGTTGCTCAAAGCCACATCCAGCCTGGCCTTGAACACTTCCAGGGATGGGGCATCCACAGCTTCTCTGGGCAACCTGTTCCAGTGCCTCACCACCCTCTCCGGGAAGAACTTCTTCCTGATGTGCAATCTAAACCTCTCCACTTTCAATTTAAACCCGTTACCCCTTGTCCTTTCACCAGGCTCTTATAAAAAGAGTGTCCCCCCCATCTTCCTTGTAGCCCCTTCAGGTACTGGAAGGTGCTATAATGTCTCCCTGGAGCCTTCTCTTCTCCAGGCTGAACAGCTCTCTCAGCCTGTCCCCATAGCAGAGGTACCCCAGCCCTCTGAGCCTCCTCTGGACTCACTCCAAGCGGTCCACGGCCACCTTATGTTGGGGGCTCCAGAGCTGTATGCAGTACTGCAGTATTTGAGTTAAGACTCCTTTCAGCACTGAATGCTACTAGGTAGTGATGCTCTGTCGTTAGTAGTTTATCACAAACATTGTACTCTTTCTTGATGACCATTTGGAATAAGCAGGAGTAGCTCTTGCCCTTACCTGAATGATTGCCTCATCAGAGGCCTGTGTCTGGGCAAGTTTTGTTATGCAGTACTGTTTTCAAATGTATTTCTGTATGTGAAGAAGTGAGTATGCAAAAATTCTGAACTTTGAATGTTCTTTAAGACAGCAGGAGACTGTTGTTAGGGTCACTTAAGTGTGCTTTGACCTTTTAGCAGTTAATAAGATCTTGCAGGAAATCTTTCCAGCTTATATAGACATTGATACAAATCAGGGTTCGATGGCTGGATATGGTAAATTTCTCGTGTGGTCAGTTGTGTGGTATTGAGATATAATTACTGTGACAGGTAGGTGGGACACATTTAATCTTAGCTCAGGTGGCATTAATAATCTGTCTGTAGGATGTCTCTGTTCTTGGTATCTGTAAAGCTACTGCTGTTGGGGCACCTTCGCATTTTCTTGACAGTCTATGTATGCTTTGGATAATAGTCCTTTGATCTTCAGTGACCTGAGAACTTCTGGGCGTCTTCATCCCAGTGTCTTTTGTTAGCAATAAAGTGGTGTTGGTGTGGAACACTGCTTGATGTCACCCACTGTCTAAATTTATATATGGTGAAGAAAAATATTTTTACTACCTGTGACTATTGTTCTTTGACCTGTGTTCTCTGTGTGTTCAAGACTCGCTCTTCTGCATTTGTTCATTGGTGTTCCTGAAAGACTCTGAGTTTTTCTCAATCCCTGCAATCCTAGAGAGGGGAAAGGGCAGGCTTTTTAGGGTGGCCTACTAAGCAAAAAGATGTCAGAGTCTTGTAAATGCACCCCTTTGGATATTATTGAGGAAAAAAAAATTATCTTGCTGTCACTATTTAAATGGATGTATTTGCAATGAATGTACAAAAAAGCCACATATAGATAACGGAAGAGTAACAGTTACAAATAAGTAGATCTTCTAATGATTAATATGATCCTCAAGACTAAAGACATTTTCAAGATTTTCATTTATATGGATACAGAGTTCTTTTTATGTGAATGAATTTTGGAAAAGAGATGAAGATGTGTACTCAGCAAGTAAGATAAGTCTACGACCATGAATTCAGTGTTCTGAATTTATGTCTCTGTAACACATATCAGTCTAAAATGAATTTACTTGTGTCTGAAAATGTCTGATATTTGCATCTGTCAAAAAAAAAAAAAACCTATGTGGCCTATAGATATGCATCCATTATGTTACTTCCTGAATTTTACTTTATTAAATCATACCAAGAAATTTGTTCACGGAAGCTTACAATCAAGTATATACTTAAAAATTAGTTTAATTGAAGGCTGTAAGCATTAACTCCTCATCATGTGATTATGGCATTTGAAATGGCAGTAGACTTAATTTAGAGTTCCTTGCATATAAATCTGTATCTTTCTGCATCTGGAGTTCTTTGAAATGTAATTTAAACATTAAATGTGCTGGTTTCATCATTTTTAATACATCCTAAAGGATGTTGAATAAGGTGGGATTAAGAGTACATATCAGTAATTAGCTTAATACTAGTCTTGTCACTTGATGAAACCTTAGCAATTCTTGTTAAAATTGCTGTCTTATTTGTCGTGGTCAATTCTTGTAGTTGTTTATAGCCTTTATTGATTCCTGAAGTTTCGCTTAGGGTAGACTTTTACTTGGTTGTTCTTAACTGAAAACTTGAATACGAAGGTGCTAGGTGCTTTCATACATTCTACATGTAGACATACACAGACATTGGAGGGTGTAAATACTTTATTTATTATTTTGGGGGGGCTTTAAACAGTTGGGCAACCCAGCAGCTTTGACGTTCAAAGATTTGTCAGCTTTGCTGTCCCAAAAAAGGAATGTATGCGTTGTCCGTTTTGAATAATCAGTTGTGTATGAAATGTGAAATTCTATTTTTAAAATCCAGAAAAATGTATTAAATTATGATGCTTACAAGCAGAACCTAGGTAAGTCTGGTAGAGAGAGATTTAATCTTATTAGACAAACTGATAATAGATGGAGAAGGCAGACAAGCTTTTGAACATACAATGCTTCTGCAATCAGGATCATCTGCAGAATAATCTGCATCAGGATAAGTGCAGTTTTAAAACAACTGTTATATTTGTGTTTATTGAGGTAGTTTGAAGGGAAGAGGCTGTGTCTGGTGTATGAAGAGGTGCTTGGAAGGAGACAGATGGTAAAGCTGTGAAGCAAGTGAGGATCACTTGCAGAACTGTGTCCTGCAGACAGGACATTGGGGTATGACATAATAGGTAGCTTGTGATAATATTTGGTAGTTACAGCTTTTAGTTCTTAAGCTCTGCATTTGAAAGTGTTTTGTAGAACTCCCTTGAGGGTCTGGAGTGAGAGGTAGTGGAATGGGGTGGGGCTTTTTTGTTTGTTTGGGTTGGGGGTTTTTTGTGTGTGTGTTTGTTTGTTTTTTGGTTTGGTTTTTTTTGTGAAAAATGTCCTGCATTTCTTTCCTGAATGTTTCCATTCATTTTCCCTTTTCTGTGTGTTAATCCTAGCAAGTAATTTGTTTGGTTTTACCCAAAATTTCTGGAAGCACATAAAGTTCTGCCATGTGCATATCTAAAAATCATACATTTTGGGTAGTAAAAAGGTAATTTTTAATCAGAAGTTGTTAATAATTTTTTAAGATCATATGAAAAGCTGGCTTTATTTGCAGGGAAAGTTTAGTAAAGTCTGTCTTGTCTGATTTAAAGATCAGGTTTGTGCCTTGTGTCTTTTGATGATACGTATGCATATACGTGGATATAATAGGTGCTTAATTCCATTTGTTAAAATGGATTTTTAAAGCTAGCTAGTTCTTGCTACATGAAGTTCCATTTTTGAGATATATCCATATACTCTGTACGTATATGTAAGTCATGTAAGATTTATTCATGTATAATTTGGGGTAAAAATCGATTTGAATTTCCTGTTTGAGAGAGTTACAAAGAAGGGTAGTGACTATTTACAAAAGTACTTAATATTTCATTATAGTGATACAGGCATCAATCTGAAATCAGCAGAAATACTCATTGAGAAAAAATAAAGCATAAATCTTAAAAAAAAATCTCCTAGTATCTCTGCAAGACTGAACATTAGATTTAGCTGTCATTGCTCACTAGTACTGTAGTAGTACATTGTTAAACCACAAGATGAGTTTCTTTCAGATGTGTTTTGTTTGCTTACGGATTTTGCCTTTCATAATCACTTCTGATTTTTTGTGTGTTTTGTCGTCTTTAAAGGTCGTTTGTATGCAATGCAAACAGGGATGAAGATTGATAGTAAAACTCCAGAGTGTCGTAAATTTTTATCCAAACTTATGGATCAGTTGGAAGCTGTAAGTAGAATTTATTGCTCTTCTCTAAAATGATTCATGATGTTAATTTAATTTCTCTTTAAGCTTCTGCAAATACTATCTTTTGTCTGTCATCAGTCATTGATGCAACTATTTTGTATGCAGTTATAATGTATGAATTTAAGTTGTATGTAATGAATTGGAAGAAGGATTGAAAGGAGGTAAAGCTATATGTAGATATGTATGTATGTATGCGTGCATGAATGCAGAGCGTAACTTATTTCATATAGCAGTGTATGAATTTAAGCTGTATTTAATAAACTGGCAGAAGGATTGAAAGAGATCAAGCTGTATGTTACAGAATCATAGAATGGTTTCGGTTGGGGTACCTTAAAGACCATCTAGTTCCAACCCCCCTGGCATGGGCAGGGACACCTTCCACTAGACCAGGTTGCTCAAAGCCTTGTCCAGCCTGGCCTTGAAGACACCCAGGAATGAGGCATCCACAGCTTCTCTGGGCAACCTGTTCCAGTGCCTCACCACTCTCATAGTGAAGAACTTCTTCCTGATATCCAGTCTAAACCTCCCCACTTTCAATTTAAACCTGTTACCCTTTGTCCTGTTGCAGTTGACTTTCTGGGCTGCAAGTGCACACTGCCGGCTCATGTTCAGTTTTTCATCCACCAGTACCCCCAAGTCCTTTTCCTCAGGGCTGCTCTCTATCCACTCTCCACCCAGCCTGTACTTGTGTTTGGGATTGCCCCAACACAGGTGCAGGACCTTGCGCTTGGCTTGTTGAACATATGTTGTGAAACTTATGTGTACGTATGTTTATATGTGGCAGGGGGATTGGAATTAGGTGATCTTTAATGTCTCTTCCAACCCAAACCATTCTATGATTATGTGATTCTGTGTATATATACGTGCACCATTAACTTCAGTGTTTCATTTCAGTTACATCTCTTGCAACTTATAAACTGTCATACACTCACAAGAAAAAGAGTTACATTTCGCAAAACAAATACTTCTGAAAACTGTGTAAAGTATGAGTTTGACAAAAGTCTTTAAATTCAAAGTTCCGTTTGGAATATTTATGTTTCACTGCTGAAATCAAGTAACTCTTCTGGCAACATTTTACGTATTTGAAAGTCGGCAGCAATCTAAAAAATACGGAAATGCAGCCTGCATGATTAAATTTTCTTCACACGCACAGTGAAAAATAACTGCCATTCAGAGATTGTTTTTAAGTCTTCTGGCAAAATAAAGGCTGCAAGTTTGTATCATGCAGTGTTCCTGTTTTTGTTCTCTAAGTATAACCTTAGAATTCCTTATGTGCAAACAGTAAGCCTATTCAGAAGCTGTAAATCCACCTGTTGTAACTTTTAGAGGGTTATTTGCTTTACTGATTTTTTTTTTTAACTAGGAAACCTGAAGATTCTTGTACTCTAATATCTTTGAAAAGAGGTCTTTGAGTTGCAGTACACTGCTTACACTGAAAATTCCAGTAAATCCATAGTCACTAGACTAGTCAAGGTAGGGCTCAGATGCTTTGAAAGCTGTCATGAGCTGCAGTGAAATGACCTTACGAGAGAGAAGATATGTGATCACTCTGACCTACAGTGCCTTTATAAAGCATGAATTACTTTATCAGTTGGACTATGTTGAATCGTGACACGGGCCTCAGAGTGCTTTGTCTTTCCTGATAGTAAGGGGAAAAATATCTGTAGCTATTCCTTCACAATGTTGTAGTTGTGTCTATTTTGAACATTTGGGGTTGGTTTTAATTTGGTTTGAGTTTTTTTAATAGTATTTTGAGATTGAAGATGAAGGTATTCAGAGCTACTTATTTGTGGTATTTCTTCTTCCAAAAGAATGTGCTTTCTCTTTCTTACCATGCTACTTTCAGCATTTGTTATGTTAGATGCTGGAGATGTGTAAAATAATAAGTGTGTGTTATTTCTTTTTTAAATTCTACTTGGCTTTGTCTAAATAAGCAGCTGCTTCTTGTGTTTGAATTACACTGCAGAATTGCTAGGGTCTACTTAGGTAGTGAATGTATTTTTTTTCAACTTTTTCAGATGAAAAAGCAATTTGGTGATAATGAAGCAATTACTCAGGAAATTGTTGGTTCTGCTCATGTGGAGAATTATGCTTTGAAAATGTTTTTGTATGCAGACAATGAAGACAGAGCTGGGCAATTTCATAAGTAGGTAAAAATCTTTGGTTTTGTCATCTGAATTAAGATACTGGTCAGGAAATGTGAATATCCCAACTCTCTAATTTGACTGGAAACATGAATTGTGCGTTAATGCATTCATTTCACTTTCAGAAAACTTGATTTGTTGTTACTCGACTCACGTGTTAACTGGTATCCTCCTTCTTTAACAGATTGCCCACTGACTGGCAAGCATCTAAAACCCCAGGCTAATACTGAGCTTGGCATCAAGCATGTTACAGTTTTTACTGTCCAGTGATATTAAAATAGTTGTGATGATACATTATGTAGTTTGATTTACACCAGTTACAACAGCATGTTGAAAAAGCATAGGCTTTTTCTCGGATAAAATAGGTTGTCCTCCGTCCTGCAGTGAACATTCCAATCTAGAAACTAAGTGCAGAACAGATGACCAGCTTTTAAAAATACTGAAAACTGCATAGTAGTCAGGAGACTAGGTAATATAAACACTGTAAAGTAAATTCTGTAACATTAGATTAAAAGACAAAAAAAATAGTGATGATTTGCTTGAAATAAGCCAATGTGATCTAAAATGCCAACTTCTAAAATGTGATCCTGAGAGACTGACCTTAACAAGTTACTGAAATGTTTTCTTTTTTACAGAAATATGATCAAGTCCTTTTATACTGCAAGTCTCCTGATAGATGTCCTAACAGTATTTGGGGAGCTCTCTGAAGAGGTAAGTGTTAGGGATATCAGTGTATTGCCTGATTGCTTTTCCTAGCACAGGTGCAAATTACTGCTTTAGTTCTGTGAAGCTATTTTGTAATTTGTGAATATGAACTTCAAAAAACGTAAGTTCTAATTGTGTAGTCAAATACACATTAGTAAGTCATAAGGAATTGTGCTTTGTATTTCAAATGACAGTTATCTAATATTTCACATATAATTTATCTGTTAGAAGATGCTTCATGACTTAAGTATCAGAAATGCAAAGTCTGATTATTACTGTGGGACACATAGCACTACATTGAGCAAGTAGGAATGATTACAGGGACAAATGATGCAAGATTCCTGACTTTTTCCACCTTCACTTTTTTATACCTGCAAGCAAGAACTTTAGTGCTAATAACTGAGGTGGAATTGTGTACAGTTTTAGTTACAACAGATGGTTTTGGTTTTACAACAAACCCCACTTTTAAAATGTGATATGTTAAGTTGGAAGAATATGAACTTACTTAATACAAAAAATGACTTACTGTCTGGCCATTAGGATGTGAATGTTTTAATTCAAAAAATTTCTACTACAATAACTAACACAGATCATGATAACATTTATTAAGGCACACCAGACTGATGTCTTGGTCTGTTATAAAACAAACTTTACCATTAGGTGCATAGTCAGCTGCTCTCTGTTATTCTTGCCCCACTGAAGAATTAATCTCAGATATAGAGGTACATGTGCTCTTAAGAGGGTATTCCTTGTTCTGAAAATTAAAAGTGAGATTTCCTTTCTAAATTAACTGAATTAGTTACATGAAGTGTCATGATACAGTTGATAGCTTCTGGCAAAAAAAAAAATAATTAGAGAAAGCTGAGTCATGAAGACAAATTTCAAAGATTGTTAAAGGAAGGTTGAAATACCTAGAAAAAACAAATAAGAAACAGCAACAACACTAGACAGTGTGAGACAAAATGAACAAGTGCTGACCACGTAAGTGCTGAATATATCTCAGGACACCTAAATCCACACAGATGATCTACAAATTATTTTTTCTCACACACCTGAGTGTTAATAGGCTTCCACACTTATGCTGGTAAAAGTGCCTTAGAACCCAAAGGTTGTGCTGCCTTCCAGGCCCATAGCAAGCACATGGCTGTGTTGGTCTCAAACAATTCCATGCCTTGCTTGGAATTCACAGACCTGATATCCTGTACGTAAATTGCTGATCTGATAAGCGTGCCCAATCTTCAGGCATATTTGTTCAGTTTTAAATGCAGAAACTGTGACTACTTTTAGTTATAAATATTGGAAGGTGAAAGAATGGTTTTGGTAGTGGTGCTCTTGTATACTGTGACATACAGGAATGTAAGTGTAGCTATTAAGGGTAGGTCTTGCCCTAGAAGAACACTTGGCCAAGTGTTCTTGCAAGATTCTACATCTTCCATAGCCTGAGACTATACCAACCTGCAATTTTCATCTATCAAGAGGCACGAGTAAGGTTGGTCTTTCATGTGTTCTCTTAAAACTGCTGCTATGCACCCTGACGTCCTTTACAGTATCAAATAATAACGGTTCCTAGAGCCAGAGAGAATGCACATTAAATTGGACTGAAAAGACAAACATGTTAGACTTTAAGAATCCAGGGCACAGAACAGTGCACTGATTTGGTGATTCCTCAGAGGTCCTGAAGCAGTCCTTGGAGATGAAAAAAATAGTTAGAAATGTCGGTGTGGAATGCCAGCAGTGGGACTACCGAATGTGGGTTTGTCTTTTTTTTTGTTGATGCTGAAAGGACAGAAGTGCTTTGTAATTGGAAGGAGGCAGGATTATCTTATTTTGATTGTTTAATCAGTCAAAACCTTGTTAAAAGAGAGTGTACAAGAAATACAGTGAAAGGTTTGCACTTCTGGCTAGCTTCATGACATTTCAACAGTTCTTTTATCCACTGTCATGTGAAGGAATGATGGGACAAGTATGACGTGACTCTCTTAGGCTTTTGCAGAAGCTTTTGTTAGCCAGAAGCAAGCTCTGCCTGACACCTGGTTACATAGCAAGACATCTAAATTTTCTATCCATTTGTATTATTCAGACCATCTGTGTGTCTTTTCAGTATGTAATTGCCTTCATATGAATGGAATATCAACTATTAAAAGGCTTTTAAATCACAGCAGAAGCATAGAAGGCAGATACTTGACACCTAAAATGAGAAAATGCGTATTATAAATAATTTTATTTGGCAAGTGGTTGATTATTGGGTAGTATGAATGGTTTGTGCCACACGAAACAGTGGATGCTCCATATCTCAGTATTAGAACTAGGCAAAAGTATTTCTGGAAGACATGTTTTACAAGACACAGCTTATGTCAGATCAGTAAGAACCTGTGTGATAGCATTGTTTTCATTTACTTCAGAAGTAACGTTCATACAGTAGGGCAGCCCTCCAAAAAGAGACAGCAGTGCGTATTAAAAACAAATGGCAAGCAACAAAATTTAGGCTCTCAGTTCTGGAATGATAAGCTTTGCACTTGGGATGCATAATGAGACACATCCAACACTCTGTTCCCTTCTCCTTTCTTTGTCCTGCATACTGGTGGGGGATTTTTTGGGGCCATTATTGAATACATTTGCCCAGAGGTGCCACCAGCCTGGCTAGGAGCTCAGCTACATCCTGCCGTGGGTCTGTTGGAGCTGGCTGTGTCTGGCAGAGGGCAGCCTTGGCCTCTCCTAACAGACACCACCTCTACCACCCCCTGTTACCAGCACCTGGGCACAGACACCCAACACAAATGCATCATCATACTTTATCAAGAAATAATTGTAATATTGGAACAGATTGGAGATGTATGGGCTGTTAAGTCCTTTGTAATGTTCTTTTAGAAAAATACCATACTCTGGATGCCTATTTCTGCATTTTGTGACTGTTGCTCTCTACCCCAAGCTAGATGACAGTGCAATTGACTTTGTGAAGTACAGTTTTGAATTTCAGTTTATTAATTCTCAAAAAATTTGATGTCATTTCTGTCAGGGCTTTTAAAGAGAGATTATTGTCTATCAAACTGTATTGTTCACTTGGATAAATTATTCCACAGATTCTTCCACATTTCTCATCTCTGTTTGTATTCAGCCTTATTACTTGAAAGATAGTGCCTCCTAACAGTCAGAGGTGGTTATTTCATTTGGAACTTTTGACAAAGTAGTTGATTTGCATAATCAGTTTAAGATTTCTTGTAACAATTAAGAACTTTTCCTGGAATAAAAAAACATTTTTGTAACAGTCCCAGGAGATATAAAGTGGTCCATCTTCATTTCAAGTTTTGACATATGAAGATTGTACCTAAGTACAGTATAAGTATTTTTTATAAAATTAAATGGAAAATTTTAAAATAGTTGAGATTGGCATTTATTTCAATCACTCATGCTTTGTGAAAAGAAGAATCTATGAAAAACCAAGTGAAATGCTTTTCCTCAATTCCTTTTTCCCAGAAACTGAAAATAGTGAAAAAACTTTTTTTTTTTTTTAAATACTGAAGTTACTACCACATTTTTTCAATTTCAAACTGTTACACTGGAAATGGAATCAGGAAAGGCAAGCAGCAGATTTGCTTTTCACTGCTGTTGCTTCATAATGACGCCGTTTCAGAAGATGGAAGTTGGCAAAAAATGATATTGACTGTCAATATAGTAATTAATTTTTGAGAAGTATAAATATTTTTTTTAATAGCTGAACTATTTCACTTGTCATTAACACTTCATTTAAGGTCGTTATAATCCCTTGCTCTGCAGGTATTTTATGTATTGCTTTCCTCATCTGATTTTTAGCTATGTTGTGAAGAAATTGAATCAGTGTTGTATGTACTAGAATATCCCCCCCACACCACATTAATCTACAACTACAGCAGCCTTTCTGTATTCATGCTTTTAAATACATTTGAGAAATGTAAAATTATTTAAATAGAAAAGATTTTATATTATTGATCATGAGGAGTAGTATTTTAAGTTGCAGATATTTAAATAATCATCTAAATTTATGGAGATAGGAAGTTTTCTTTATTATTTCACATCACTAATTACTACACAGTGCTCTTCGTCATTCACACTAGACGGTCCTGGTATTAATCAGTTCGTTTTCCTGACATACTGCAGTAATTGAAGATCTCCACATTTTCTTTTCATGCTGAGATCTTGTTAAAAAAATTTTTTAAGTCCCTGATTAATTAAACATGTGTTTTTTTATCTTTAAAGGGGTGTCAAACCATAGCAGAGAAAGCAGTTTAGTTTTATAATCTCTTCGCAGGGTGGGAAACCTGCTTGTATTTCCTTTTTGAATGCATTAAGTCGCAGAAGTGAGTGGTTAAAATGGCCTGCCTTTTCCCTTTCCCAGAATGCCCAGCACAGGAAGTATGCCAGGTGGAAGGCAGCGTATATTCATAACTGCTTGAAAAATGGAGAGACTCCTCAGCCTGGGCCTATTGGAATGGAAGGAGAGAGCTTCGGTACGTGTTTCCCTTTTCTTTTTAAAAGAGCAGAGGCCTGAGCCAAGACCGAAATGGTGGTACACACGGTTCTTCAGGGAGCACCCCACAGGACACACTGGTTTCCTGTTTAATGTTCCATTCATGATGGGCCACCTTCTGTTTTTTCTCTTCTGCTTATCCTACTGTTATTTTTATCAAACCTTACTATTTGATTGACTTATTAAATAAAACTTTTTTTTTCCTTTCTTTGTAGTGGGGATTAATATTTTGAATACAGCTACTCTCTAAGAAATCAGTGTCACCTTTGGGCCAGAAACATGCATTTTTTTAATGCTACCCAGAGTCCTCCTTTTAAATGTGTTCTGTATATTTATGATCCCTTTCCCAGTGGATCCTCTCTCAGGAGTTAAATAGGAATCGAAAATGGGTTGATTGCAGGTGGATTCAGCATCAAAGGAAACACCTCATTGTGAGACAACCCCTTTGTCCCTGTATAATAATGTGATTTCCAAAATAGGTTTGTGGCCTATTCTTTTTAGATTGGATTTCCTGCTACTTTCTCACTCATTCCCCTTTTCCTCGTATTTTTAGTTACTCCTTGTGTTGTTCTTGCTACCTGCCTTTCCTGTACAGGATTCCTCAAAGTTACCTCCTTAATGGTTAGATAAAAAGTGCCAATTTCCAAGGGCACAACCACTTAGCAAAATTAATGTTTATCAGAACAGGTTGCTTAAAACCTCCCAATCTGTAACTTTTACTGTCTTCTATTTAATGCATTCAGACCTGTCTAAACTTTGCTGCTAATTTAAAAGTCTTGGCTTTTCACTAAGAAGTGTTAGGAGCATCTAAACCTTTCGCTGGAGCTTTCTTAAGACAGACACCACCCCTGTGAGCATGCAAGCTAGCCTCTCAAAGAAGTAACACATACAAAGCAGACCCTGTCTTAGAAGAGCACATTGATTGCATCCTATTCTGAGAAAGAGCTCCATTCTCTGAAGTCATTATGTGCATTTTTACTAAATATAACAATCAAAACAGAGCTGCTGTATTATTTCTAAACTTTATAATGTCAACCTCTTTCTGAAGCATAGATCCAGAGGCTTCAGATACACACAAGAATGAAATGACTTATGCAACTTCATGTTAAACAGCTGAAACAGGTAGTAGTATTATTGTTCTTTGTATAAACTGACCACGCTTTTCAGTTATTGATAAAAGCAAAAAACATGCAAAAATTAATGCATTTCTGAAATAAATCAAAATAAAAATTGTATGTAATTGTTAAATTTTCACCCATTTACTTTTCCATTGTTTACCAGTTTTCTGAGCTTAATCCTTTATGAACATTTAATTATTTTTGCATTCCCCCAGGTACTGTTGATAGCGATCAGTTTTATTAATAAGGGATCTCTTCATTTTCCTCCCCGTCAGCACAGAAGCTTGAAACACAAATTTTAAATGTGAATCCCTTATGAAAATAGAATGGTTTTGGAATGGATATTTTCATTATGCAAATTAAATCTGACTAATTCTGCACAATGACAATAACCTCTATGTAGAATTCTTCACATACGTAATAACATCTAAGACCATTAAATGATTTGAAACTTTCTTCTGAGCTAGTACACAAGACCTTGTGGCTTGAACAAATGTCACTTAAGTTTATGCTCATTTATGACTTAAGCTTGAATTTAATAATACAAATTTTTCTAATAAAAAGAATCAATAAACAAATTTACAGAAGACAGAAGTCTAACTGGTTAGGTAGTTGTAGAAGTGGATACGTGAAGTTTTATAATTATGTACATTAATACATACGATCCATATATTTACGCATGTGCGCACACACATATATGCACACATATGTGCATACACTTGTTTACACACTTTTTTTTGTTTGGGGTCTGTACCTGGGTCTTCAGTGAAAATTTTGAAGTCTGAATCAGTAATTTCAAATATGTTATGAATAGGCTTGTAATTTTCTGCACATTGGTTTTATTTTAAACATGTCAAAACATGAGAAAACTGGTTTTTCTTCTGGTTCTCAGTCTTTTCATCATACTTTCTCATATTTTGAAGCTTCTTTCCTGTTCATCTGTGAAGAAAGAGGAGGATGGGCATGACCTACTGTTCATAGAAAGATTAAACTCTTGGCCTTTCCAGTAAGGTATAGCATCCTATTCCACTTGGTAACCATTAGCTAACTCTTTAGCTGACGACAAATGTCCAGCAGAAGATAAAAAGTGACAAAGTAGCATGAATAAAAGCTGTCTAGTTTACCACCTTTATCAGACTATGTGCAGTGTATAAGGAAGTGTAAGATAGGGAGCCTTACTTACTCCTTCCAAGACCATCTTTGTTAGAAAGTAGTATAATGCTTGGAGTATGAGAGTTTGCTATCGTGTTCCAAATGCAAACTGGAGAATATGGCATATAAGGTGACGTTATGTGTGTCTAAAGAGAGTTATTATTGTTGTCTCAAATATGCCTAATGGAAGAGTGTAGACAAGATCTAAGCTAGAATCTTTTTTGGATGTGCATAGTGGTAGGAGAGTAGGTGATGCACATAGGTTGCAACAAGGAAAATGTGAATTAATCATTAGGAAAAAAAATAATCATCATGAATGCGGTCAGATATTGAAAAGTGTGTCCAAGAGAGTTTATGGAATCTTCATCCTTGGAAATACTCAAAACCCAACTGGACACTGTCCTAGGCAACTGGCTCTAGCTGACCCTGCTTGAATAGGGGGTTGGACTGGAAAAGCTCAAGACCTGCCAGAGCAGCATGATGTGTGTTAGCACTGCTATGAGTGAGGATCCTTCATCCTTTTTATGATTCTTAAAAGAAATCATTTAGGTGTATATAGAAAAGGGAATCAGTGGGTGACAAGGGGAGAGGATCAGATAAGAGTGCGTCTTGAGGTTCAAATCTAGCCAAAAAAAATTGTGAAAAGTGGCCCTCCACAGTGTAACTTATCATTTATATCTCATGGGCACCATTACAGTTAAAAAAGGAGGGAAAAAAAAACCAAAACATCATCACCATTTTTAATGAGAATGTGTACAAAACACCTATCCTTGTTTATTGTTAGCCTTTATTTTGTTAAAAGTAAACAAAACTATTTGACTATTAATACTCTAGAAACACTACAACATAAGTTTGTGAACAAATAATGAATATGATACAATTTGATTTCCAAGCTACTGATTTATTCTTGTTATTATGCTTTCCTTACCTAAACATGCCCTACAGACTTAAAACTGGGATGTCTGTGTTACCCACTGAAAGATGCTCCAGTCTAAGCACAGCTGTATTTGAAGTGTAGCATTAGCAATCCAACTTCTTTTTCAACATATCTTTTTTAAGGCAGTTTTCTTAACTGCTGGTGCAGTAACAAGAGCGACTTATGATGCAACTCCAGCTGCAAACACACCACATGTTTGTAAGTCAAATTACATCAGTTTGATAATTTAATGGAGAACACAACATGTGTGAAAAATCTTTTGTTACAGTGAATGTAACGAATAGCGCAATTAATTTCTAGCTTTAAAGGAGTGCTTTTTAGTAGTCTGGCTTATAGTGTGGTAATGCTTGCAAAGCTCAAACAATTTCAAAAATAGAATATGTAAGCAAAAATTACAGAGGTTTTGTTAAAAATCTGTGTATGCAGCTCATGTAGAAATAATAATTGTTTCTCAGCAGCAATGAATACCCTCTCTTCATTTTATTAATGTGGAGGCAAAGGTAACTGACTTATTCAAGGCTGCAAAAGAAACTGTTGTAGGAGGAAAAGTAGAATACGAAATTTACTCAAATCCTTCCTATTCATTGCAGGTTATTACAAGCTGTAGTGTGAATAGGTGAGGACTTGTTTTCATAAACAAGTTACGTCTACGTGCAAATTAAGAGACACAAATGCTGAGTGAACCAAAATTTTAACATCCTTATTCACGGGGAGCCTGTAGTACATGTAATTTGGCAGTATCTCTTTATTTGTTGAATTGTATTTCATGTAGTAAGAGAATTTCTCACATACTTTTATTTCCTGAGCAATGAAATGAAAGATACTTTTTTGATGATTATTTTTGGGAATGAACTCCATAGCGTATATGTCCATAATGCTTTTACACTACTGTGCAATTAAATTTGTATTAGAAGAATTGTTTAAAAAAATTCAGGTTTTGCTCTGTGCACCTTAAGAAGAAAAGCAGTACTGTTTGAATGTATGACTGGACCTTCCCCATTCCTTTCTGCTTGCTCATTTTCTTCCTCCCCTTGCAAGTGGAAAAAGTCTGTTCAAACACAGTGAAACGAGGTCTCTTTAGCTTGACGAATTACCATTTTTTTCCAAAGTGTTATTTTCTTTGTGATTCTTGAAAACCATACTGTAACTCTTGGAGAGGTTTTTACAGTAACATAGGCACGCTTTATGTAGCTCTGCTGTTGGATTTATGGATGCTTTTTGTCAGGATGCCACCATGGAAACCTTAAAATGACTTGCTTGATTTATTAATGCAGTTGGATACAAGTCCTAGAGTACATATAAAGGTCACTTAGCAGTAGCCCTAGGTCGTCCAGCAAGATTTTATTCTAATGGAACAAAATTAAAAATATAACTTCAACTATGAAAAAGTTCCTAAATGGTCACAGTATAGCCATAGTAAAATACATTGTGTCGCCACTTTCATTGCAATATAGCAATATAGAGTATGTAGTCTACACTTACATAGCAGAATTCCAGGAAACCTGTGTAGTCCTAACTAGTGAAAGAATAGCTTGTGAAGAGTTGATGGATTTTTGAGTCCGTTTCTCAATGTTGGGGTGGGGGGGAGCAGTGTTTCAATAGGACCTTCCATTGCACATCTTTTAGCAACATTTCCACCTAGAGAAAAACAGTGCAGCAGAATGAGGAAAAGAAAATGTTTTTAAATTTAAATTAATAGATGACGTCAAAAGTATTGCCTTTCCTTAAAAACACAAGTGCGGAGAATTGGGCGAGTCTGGACTCCTTAAAAATAATTTTGCTAGTTTTAAATTTATTGCTCTGGGCTGCTTCAGTTAAGTCATAATCAGTGCTTCCTTGCACTAGACAAGGGAATGCCGTTAAGCCTTGAGAATCCTCTATTTATGTGAAAGTATCTTTGCACAGTTGGTTATGGCACCAGAGGTGTATCAGCCTTATTCCACAAACTCTTTCCGTCAATAAATAAATAATATTAATTAAACCCCCCCAAGTGATCAGATAGTCTCGGTATACTGTCTGAGGAAAACCTGAAGAGCGTATGGATTCGTTATGCTGGGATCCAAGAACAAAGGCTGATGAGGTTCCAAGACAAGAAACTCTGCTGGAGCTGAAACTGAATGTGAAACAATTGTGTCATTGTTTCACAGCCTAGTATTTCAGCATCCTTAAGCAAATTGCAAGGAACTTTAAATTCTAGGTTATTACTGCTTTATGAGAAATTAATTCTCTAATTTTCCTAGTGTTGATTCCCATTCCCTGGAAAAGGTTTTTCAATAATGTTATGGATATTCTAACCACAGAACCTAAAACCAGTTTGTTGACTTAAATGTTCTTTTCCAGCAGCCTGAAATCTTTCTCTTTAGCACTGCTCTTAAAACTGTTCACAAATACTGCAAGCACATATCTCAAAATGGTTCTAATACTTCACTCTTTGATAAAGAATATTTTAAATATTTACTTTGCGGAAAGAATAGTTACAATGCTTTGATGACATCTGGGCACTTCAAACACCTAACAAGAGTTAATTTAAACAAAGCCACTTTTATGTTTAATACAGTTTAATGTTTGCCAATTGCATAATGAGCAAATCAAACAGTTGAGTTTGATGTCTTGATACATATGCCTGATTAAAAAGTGTATCACCCTTTTGTGAACTTGGCTCTTACAGGCACCTGTTACTATGGGTGGTCAGCACTTCTAACACTTCTTTTTCATTATTTTTTTTGCTTATAGCATTGCTAGACTTTAACTATCTGAGTTCATCTTTTCCATGGCCAGTGTTGCCTAAAGCATTGTACTTTTATAGGTGAGACTGCAGGCCATGACCTATACAGTGAGGAAGTGTGAAGCTGAAACTAGGAGTGTCTTGGAGAGAAGTTTTGGGAGGTAGCGCAAGACAGGCACAAGTATGGGGCAAGGGTTTGCAGATATGGGATATATGAAGGCCTGGTGCAGAGAAAGAGAAATCAGAATGGGACTGAAGAGCGAGAGAAGGGCAATAGGAAGCTGCAGGAGGCAAAATAAAGGAATAAATGCATTAATGGTTTAAGTCTGGGCAAAAAGTTAGAGGTAATTTCTCTTAACTGAAATACTAAGTACAAGGAAAGCATGCTTTCTCCCACTCCCTTATTCTCAGAAGTGACTTAGTAATTTTTACAGCAGCCTTCCCAAAATACTAGTGTCCAATGTACAGTACAGTATGTACAGTAAGTCTCTGGGATATTGTTAAACTAAATTTTATTTTCTGAAACCTTTAAAGTAATTTTTTTAATTAACACCAAATGAACACTAAAAAACATAGCATTCAGCCGATGGCTTATTTCTATCGCTGCATTAGTATTTAAAAGGTAGCATTTCCAATGCTTTTTATACATCACCTTTTTTTTGCCAGTTTTAACACATTTAATTTTACTTGATGCATGTTAGCATGTTATACTCCATGATCCTGGAGTATAAGTTACTAGCAGAAAATACAGCAAAGGAAAAATCTGGGACTTTAAGATATCCCTTGCCTTCCAGAAATCTGCCAGGTGTTTGTTTGCATATGTCAGAAATAGCTTCATTAAACCACAGCCTGAATTACTGCTTGCAGCAAGTGAAAGTAATTTTCACAAGAGTAACATACAAAAATTTTACTATGTGTGGTGGTTTTTATATTAAATTTTGCTAGCAATCCTTAACACTCCTGACAAAACTTTGCTTCTAGGTTTCTTTTCATTCTACTACTTTTAAATAAAGATTCTTGGTATTAGACTGTGGTTTTCAGGGAATTGTAGATTTGTTTATTAGTATTTGGATGTTCTGAATGAGAGTAGACTATTACAACTTTTCAGTAGAAACTAAAAATATATTCTTTAACTGTGTGTTTATTGAAACACAGTAAAAATGTCCCAATGACAATACTGTTGATTTTACTCCGCATTATAGCCTTTTATTGTAGTAAAGAGTATTGTTTAGCTATTTTTAGTTAAGGTAGTACCTGAACTTTTTTCTGGGAAGAAGAGGACCTTACATGGGAAATTTTTTTATATTTGTAATAGTAATCTGCTTAATTACCAAGCAGTAGAGGTGATTGCATAACATGTAATCTTGTATAGTTGAAGATCAGTCTGGATTTCATAAAGAAAAAACATCTCTTTTGCCAGCCGTAGGCACATACAAATTTTGTGCTGCCATGTTCATTTTGCTCCCTTTCAAGAACTGGCTGTTAAGAAAACCATTCCCAAAACTGTGCTTGTTCTACTTGACATTATTGGTACAGATGAACGCATACACAGCAGAAGAAAATTAGCTTTTTAAAATTGAACTGAATTCAAATTCAGGAGCAGAAATCAACCATATTTTAAATGAATTGGATCATTAGCATAATAAAATTGAACCATTTACCTTCAAAGCAACATTGAGTGGACTAGACCAGAATTTTAAGAACATGACTAGATCGAAAAACAATGTATGTATTCTTTGTATATGCTGTGGGATAAGTTGAACCTCCTTATTCTTATACTACATTATGTACTCTAACTGCTCTAGATACTGTTATGGCTTGGCTAAGCTGCATTTTGTTTTCTTGTTTGGTGATACTTTCTCAGAACTACCCATTTTTGTTACTTATTTGTGGTTTGTTTAATTGATAGAGAGTAGAAGAATTGGCACTGTCTTTACAAAGAGTTTGTAAGGCAAATACAGTTTTCCATATTCTGCTTCATGTATATATTAAAATATAGATTACTGCATATTTATGGTATCGTGTTCGACTGTTGTGGATGCAGTACACGGAAGTAGAAGGGATTGTATTAATGAGACAAATTGCTTATATTCAGACTAGTAGTGAGATGGTCCTTCAATTTAAACAGAAGAGATGTTCTGAAGGATGTGAGTTTCTACATCTTTATTGTATGTTATGTTAGTTTTTTACTTTGCCAAATCAACCACAGGTGGTTTGGATTAATAAATGTCGATCTGTGTCACACTGTGGTGGCAGTTTTTCTAAGAAAGGTTTGAGAGGAAGTTTCAAAAGACAGCCCAAGTTTTCAAGTGTTTGTACAGAAGAGTTGTGGTAATTCCTGTTTTGTGTCATTTTAGCAGATGTTGAAAGGGAAGAAGCAGGGTCATCTTCTCTCCATAGTGGAACAACTCAACCATCATCATCTACAGATGAAGCTAACAACACACCAGCTAGTAATTACAGTGGCATACATATACCACCAGGTGCCCATGCACCAGCCAACACTCCAGCTGAAGTACCTCATAACACAGGTATGTCCAAATTGCATCCAAAAAATTGAGAGGCAAAATCTAGTTACCTTTCCATTGCATGTAAAGTAAAATAATAGAGGTGTTCTGTGGCAGAAGCAACTTCATAAATTAACATCATAAAAATGCCATCAGAAGTACTTTTTACGTTTTTAAAATACATAGTTCATATTTTAGAACACTTTGCCAGAATAGATACTTGGACTGCAAGAGTGAGTGTTCCTGCAGACAGGATGGCTGTTTTCTTTACAATCATGCATTGCAACGTCTGTACTGTAAAGCACCATTTGAAGCTTTTACTTGATAGGTGAAATTATATTACTTCATTTCATATTTAGCTCTCCCTGTGCAGATAGACTGCTGTTCTTTATGTGGGATCACATCCAGCATAGTGTTGAAACTGTTACAACAACGCTGTAACAATCATGCCTGAGGTGCCATTCACACCTTTCTTCTATTTGAATTATCCTTCTTTTCCCATGCAAGTACTTCAGTGTGATTGACCGCAAACAATATTATTAATGGAAATTTTGTTCCTACTGCTAAACAAGTTGGCTCTTACATCCCTCTCTGTCATTTTTGGACCAAACACAAGTTCTTAAATATCCTAAGTTCTTCCCAGTTGCTGTATTGAAAAAAAAAAAAGTTGTATTAAATGCTGTGTGAATACAGCTTTTCCTCCTCATGTTACCTTTTTGTAATGATGTTTAATAAAACTAAAAAAAAAAATTAAAAGCTCTTGATTTCAATCCTGATGATCATTTGATGATTGTTAAGATACATTTTTGTAGTATAGAACATGAGATGTTTTTGTCACATAGCTCCTCCTTTTCTTTTATTTTCTCATTTTAAAAGTGCTTCACCCTATGAAAAGTTCAGGATGCTCTTTTTTTCAGCTTTATCAAAGGGAAATCCTTCAGATAGGTGGAGTTTTTTGGGTCTGGGAGAGGGACAGTGTTGTTTATACACTGAGTCAGGGTAAGTGTGTTCAGGTCCTTGTTTTTACCAGATCTGAAAATTATAGAATATGTACCATTTTGGAATACATGAATACTTTGCATTACATAGTTTTAACACCATCAGTCATTGTATGAAATAACAGATGATTTCGAAAAGAGATTGTACCGTCTTCGTACGTGTGTTAGCGTGGTATGTTCTGGATGTTCTGCAAAAATACAGGTTTGGATCAGTGCAAATGAGACTGTCTAAAATGTGAATGCATACAAGAATGCTTCGCAGCGTAAAGTGCTGTTTCTTATTCTATCACCATTTCACTTTTAAATCTAGCTGGCTTTTTTGTGCTCAACAATTGTTTTCAAAGGTATTAGGAACAGATAGTGTGCAAGTGTGAGATAGCACGCATGGGGCTTTAAAAATACAATAATGGAGGAATACTAAAAAGCAGAATTTAGATTTCAAATATAAAAGTTCACTCCTACTTTTCTTCAGCAGGCTGTTCTCAATAGGTTAACCAATATCTTTCGGACTGGTATTTTCTTATTTTTTTTAATGCTTGAAATTAAATTTCTGTGAAATACTGGACTGGTAAGATGGATAGCCTGCAAATTCATCTGTATTACTTGATAAAACATTTAGATTCTGCAGTGAGGGGTTTAAAATTACTTGTTACAAACTTTCAGAGTTGGGAAGCTATCAGCTGCGTAATTTAGAAGTCATTGTCACTAGGTTTACCTCGTCTATTTTCTACTTTGTCTGCTTACTTTTAAAGTCTATAAATAAAAATAACCCAAGTCCAATTTTTGGCATTGATTTGCAGGAGTGACAAGTAACACCATTCAGCCTGCTCCTCAGAATATCCCTGTAGTTGATCCTTCCCTTTACAGTGCTCAGTCTGCAGGTAAGGTGGTGGCATTTGTATTGTCTGTACGTGGACATGCTGTGTTCTTTCTTTAAGTCTTGCCTACACTGAACGAAGAAGTTTGAGAAAGATTGCCATCATTATCTGAATGCGAAATGGGCATCATCTAACCATTGGCTGCGGCAGTTTAATAGTTTCTGAAAGCTTTACTATAGTCTGTGCAGTAGTCAGACTTCTTCAAAGTAATGAGCTAGAATTGTGTTAGGCTTTTCATTATTTCTGTTGTTGCTTCTCAGATGAGGTCCTGATACAATTAGCAAAGTCTGTAATCCTTATGGCCTTGCTAAATTGTATTTTTGGTAATCAGTACACATTCTCTTTCCTTAAAATTTCTTCTACAGGGTCAGTACATAAGTTACATCAGTAAATAATCACGATGTTCCAGTGGTGTTATAGTACCTTTCTTAAATTAAATAATTTAGAAGGTACTGCTAATGATGCCATTTTGATGTATCATTTAATCAAGGCTTTTATCGTTTAAAATGCTACCTGTCTTTGATGTTAAAATCACTGATAACCTATATTACATGTGTGTTAATGTATTTTTGCATATGTCGTACTTTCACTGCACACATAAATGCTAACCTTAGGGAAACCATGGCCTGTGAAAGAGTAGTTAGTCACTGAGTATGTCACTAGGCTGGAATCATCCTGTACTCTTAATTTGAACACTCATGGGCATTTGGACAAATTATTAACTGTTTTCTAGGATTTTTTCTGTCCATGCAATAGATATAATTAATAAAAAAATATGTTACATCCATTTGTAATAATCATATTTTTGTTAGCAATATAATGTGAATGTTGAGTGAGGAGGAGGTCTAGAAATCCTGGTATGAAATCTGTTCACATTCTACCTTACAGTTTATCCTCACCAGGGAAAGCTGATAGTGTACGTAATTGATATCAAATGTTTCCTGTTAAGACAGTCGAGTTTAGATACAGGTATATTCTTGTATCTTGTAACTTAAAAATATTAAGATATATATTTTTAGTTTACTATGTTGTTGAAGAGGGTGTCAAAGTTAAAATAATCATAGAATCATAGAATGGTTAGGGTTGGAAGAGACCTTAAAGATCATCTAGTTCCAACCCCCCTGCCATGGGCAGGGACACCTTCCACTAGACCAGGTTGCTCAAATCAACTTTACTGAAAAAGCTTTTTTTGATTCAGTGGGATGCTATAATAGGAATTCAGTATTCAGCTTGATTTTATTCTGCTGCCAGAAGAATGCTTAAGGATATGTCCATCTTAATATATTAGGAAGACATTTTTATAGAAGATGTCTTAAAAAGATAAAAATGACAAAATTTGGCATTGATAGAAATATATTAACATTTAGTATTCTCTTGAAGAACAAAAGGCACATCCTATTGGTTGTCTGGCATATTACTGTAATGGCTCATGTGAGAGTTAATTCATTTTATTGAAAGCAATACCTGAAGACTTTTAGCTGAACCCTTTAAACTGGTGGTAGCTTTTGAATTTTGGGGTTTGTTGTCAGGGTCTCGGTAGCTCCTTAGCCAAAACGGCTGAAGGCTTTAATTAAGCTTTACTGTAGTAACTGCTAGTTGGAAAGCAAATTTTGTGTTATTTGACAGCAGAGCTTTAATACTTAACCAGCTTACCATGATGCTCTGGACAGTCTAGGGTTTTGGATAACAACTCTGAAAATTTTAGTCATCGAGTCTTGGTTTGAACATTTAATTCTGGCTGACAAAAATGTAATAATTTTGATTTAAACTTTAATTCTTCATTAAGTATTTAAAGTTCCGTTATTTGATATCTGAATAGTATCAATGCATTGCTCCTTCTAGCCACTCATCTGTGATAACCAGATTTAGTAAGTACGTAAATATAAATGAAAAGGAATTGAGTGAATTAAGATACCCTGTGTTTGTGAGGATTTGTAATAACTACTATCCTGTAATTAAGAGATTAAGACCCTTGCTGAGCACAGTGCTGAACAACTTGGTCTAACCTGAGTATTTGCATGCCTGCATTCTTCCTCTACACATCTGCTATGTCACTGCAATTTGGCTCTTGTAACAGCTTAAAACGTTACATTCTTGAGGGAGTTTTGCCAAAGTGTAGCCTGAGAGGTGACACAGCTCACATAGATCACTGGTTCTGAAAGCTTAGAAAATACTCTGTCAGTTATGCAGGAGTTTGAGAGGGCATAAGGGATATGTCAGTCAGCAGATATGGTTTTGTTTGGAGGCGTAGAATTAAGAAGCTTGAGAGCAGTGGAAAGTGTTTGTCCTTGCCTGTCACCATTCTGTCATGCATGTCTGGTCATTACCCAAAGCATCTGCCCTCCAGAGTCACAGCAGATACCATTCTTCCCATGCTGCTGGAAGTCCTTTTTACGCCAAGTACTCTGTTACCCAGTAGCCTTGTTCCCTGACCTGTAAGTAGCTTTAGAAATGCCTTTATCTCACAATGGACATTGTGGGCCCCAGAAGCCCTCCCCAGTTCCTGAGTTTCAGTGCATATATTTGGGCTAGATCCTGACTGTGTATTGAGTTAGACTTCGGTGTGCACCATTCCTATGGAACTGAAATTTTCTTTGGATGAGAAGGAGGAATCAGTGTTGCCCTCCAGTAGATCCATAGAGCTAGCACAGGGCAAAGTACACTTGCTCCATGATTTAGGCATGATGCCTGTGCCTATACTAATAAATTAAACATGCCTCTAAATATTTGACACTGAGAATAGACGGCACGGAACCACTTATCCATAATAGTAAACTTTTAAACCTTCTAAACAAGGTAGTTTGTGAAGGCTGACAGTATTGAATGGTCCCTAGCCTGCTCTAACCACAAATCGTGCCCAGGAATTGTTTGGGAAAGTGCTAGTTTGCATGGGCCAAAGCCATACTGGAGTTTGTTCCAGCAGTTTCACAGTGTAGACAGTCAGGTTTGAGTGCTGAGACGCATTCCCTGGCACTGTTGAATGTGCTAGTATAGTCATAGCCAAACAGGATATTCCACATATTCCTGCAGGACTCTTTCTGGTAGTAAGATCAAATGTATATTTTTAAAATAAATTATATATTTTCTTTCCTTCCCATAACATGGCAGAAGCAGTTTGATTAATGCTATGATGGGAGAGAAACTTGGTAAGAGTGGAATATTTTATCGAAAGAAAATTAAAGTAACAGTATGCCTTTTATTTTAGTGATCGTGAATCCTTCAATAATAGTCCTGTCCTGTGGGAGCAGGTTTCAGGGTTTAACATTGCCTTGTGAAAGTGTCAAGCATATGCAATTAAGCATTGGTTAATGTCTCTGACAACAGATTGTAGAGCTACACAGCAACATTGTATAATGTGTGCATGCTCTTCTCTGGTGTAGCTTGCTTAAAAAATTTATTACCCCTAGTTTTTGCTAACACTAAATGCATTCATGGTTGTGCTACACAGAGTATTTGTAAAACCTTCTTACGTTACCATATGCTCCATTTCACAGGTGGCATAGTATAGAGAAACCATTTGTCCATTCTAGTTGTGTGCATAATATTGTTTGATTTTTCTACACACAAAGTAGAAATAATAACTTGACATTTTACGTGTTTTCATGATCTTAAGGTGAAATCTTTGAGGATTTATATTTCAAATACCCTAAGTGCTTTAATGGGAAAAAAGAGCATCTGGTTTCAAAAATCATTTCAGTTACCTTTGCCATCACAGTTTTTATACATTCGGTTGCGTTATTAAAAGGTTCTTAAATCAGCTGCCTTGTATTTGGGCAACTTCAAAAAAAAAAAAAGGAAAAAGGTCTGATAAATAGAAAAGGATACCAGGAGAAGCAGATACATCATGTAAAATACACATTAATTTCATTCTAAACCTGCTTTTTTTCACAGTATCATTTTCAGCTTCTCCAGTCAAATCACCTTTTTCTTTTCACTTTGTGTTCCTTTTGAACTAAAAGAATCATGCTTGTTGACATTAGTTATGGATTCCATATGTCTGTCACGTTTGAGTAATAAATGTAACTACTGTGCTAATAATTTCAGAGTACTGCAGAGGCATGTTTGTTTCAGGATAAATACAGTATGCTTTTCTCATCTTAATGTTGCTGGGCTTTTTTAGAGCTCAGAATTACAGGATGGTTGAGGTTGGAAGGGACCGCTGGATGTCACCTGGTCCAACCCCCTCCACTCAAGCAAGGGTCTGTAAAATGGATTGCTCATGTCTACGTCTTTTGTGTCTCCTGCTGCACTCTCCCCCTGGTTTAATTTGCAGCCCTGAAAGAAGAAGTTTGAGAAAAAATGTCATTATTAATTTAAAAGACAGCTTTTAAATCTCTCCAGGGATGGAGACTCCACAACCCCTCTGTGCAGCCTGTGCCAGTGCTTGGTCACCTTCACAGTAAAAAGCGTTTCGTCATGTTCAGACAGGACCCTCCTGGGATTCAGGCTGTGCCTATCACCTTTGGTCCTGTCACTGGGCACTACTGAAAAGAGCCTGGCTGTGTCCTTTATGCACCCTCTCTTCAGGTATTTATATATATTGATGAGATCCCCCTGAGCCTTTTCTTCTCCAGGCTAAACAGTCCCAGCTCTCTCAGCCTCTCCCTATATGAGAGGTGCTTCAGTCCCTTAATCATCTTTGTGGCCCTTCCCTGGACTCTCTCCAGGAAGTCAGTCTCTCTCTTGTGCTGAGGAACCCAGAATTTGACACTACTTCAGGTGTAGCCTCACTGGCACTGAATAAAGGAGAAGGATCATCTCCCTCAGCCTGTTGGCAACATTCCTCCTAATGCAACCCAGGATGCTGTTAGCCCTCCTTGCTGCACGGGCACGTTGTTAGCTCATGGACAAATTAGTGTCCCCCAGGTGTTTTTGTGCAAAGCTACTTTCTCCAAAGCGGCTTAACCCTTAGAATATGTATATTGAAATCAGTTACTGACTTTTGTGGTTGTACCTGTGATGTAAGTACAGACCTTACAGTTGTGTCACATTATTTTGAAAACTTAAGAACAGAGGGTTGTTTTATTTC